TGGCTCAGTGGTGGCACAGTGGCGGCGGTGGCTCCTAAGCAAAGGCCTGGCGGAAAATAGGCCCTGCGGAACTGCGCCAGGTCCCGCAGGGCCCAGATCTCCCCCGGGAGCTCGTTCCACCAGGCAGGAGCCACCGCCAAGAAAGCCCTGGCCCTAGTTGCAGCCAACTTGATGTCCTTGGGGCCTGGAATCACCAGCAGGTTGTGCGCTCCTGACCGTAGTGCTCTTAGGGGAACATATGGGGAAAGGCGGTCCCTTAGGTATGCTGGACCCTGGCCATCAAGGGCTTTATAGGTAAGAACCAGCACTTTGAAGCGAATCCAGTATGCTATAGGGAGCCAGTGCAGCGCCTTCAGCACAGGCTGGATGTGGTCCTGTCTAGTGAGACCCATCAACAGCCTGACCGCCACATTCTTCACCAGCTGCAGCTTCCGGATTTGTGACAAAGGCAGCCCCATGTAGAGAGCGTTACAGTAGTACAAGCTTGAGGTGACCGTCGCATGGATCACTGTGGCCAAGTCTTCGCGGTCAAGGAAAGGGACCAACTGCTGCACCAGCTGAAGATGGTAAAAGGCTGACTTGGCAGTGGCTGCCACCTGAGCCTCCATTGATAAGGAGGAGTCCAGGAGCACTCCCAAACAGTGTTCCCTCTAAGCTGAGTTAGTGTGAGCTAGCTCACAGTTTTTTTAGACTCCGACTCACACATTTTTGCCTTAGCTCAGGAAGGAGGGCTCCAGAGCAAACTAATTTATGCAGCAGCCAAATTGCTCACTCACAACTTTAATGCCAGTAGCTCACAAAGTAGAATAATGGCTCACAGGGCTCCATAGCTTAGAGGGAGCATTGCTCCCAAACTCCTAACCCTCGACATCGGCACCAACTGCGCCCCATCGAAGACCAGGAGAGGGAGCCCCGAACCGACCCAGCTTAGGCCCAGGACCTCCATCTTCACCGGGTTTAGCTTTAGCCAGCTCAGTCTGAGCCAACCAGTCAAAGCTTGTAATGCCCGATGAAGGTCATCTGGGTCGGAGTTCGACTGGCCACCCAGCATCAGATAGAGCTGGGTGTCATCCGCATATTGATGACACCCAAGCCCAAAACTCCGGGCAATCTGGGCAAGGGGGCGCATATAGATGTTAAATAACATCGGGGATAGCATCGCCCCCTGAGGCACCCCACACTCAAGAGGGTGCTTCCGGGACTGCTGTTCCCCTATCGCCACCCTTTGTCCCCAACCTTGCAGGAACGAGGCAAACCATTGAAGGGCGAGCCCCTGAATCCCCACGTTGGCGAGGCGGTGAGCCAGCAGCTGATGGTCGACCGTATCAAAAGCGGCCAACAGATCTAACAACAGCAATGCCGCCACACCATCTCGATCCAGATGCCTACAGAGGTCGTCAGTCAGGGCGACCAGCACTGTCTCCGTCCCATGACCCGGGCGAAAACCGGATTGGAAGGGATCTAGGACTGAAGCATCCTCCAGAAAACCCTGTAGCTGTAGTGCCACCGCCCTCTCTATAAGTTTGCCCAAATAGGGCAAATTGGACACCGGCCGATAGTTGGCCAATCCAAAGATGAGTTTTTCAGGAGGGGGTGACCATCGCCTCCTTGAGTGCTCTGGGGAACTGTCCCTCCAAAAGGGACTTGTTGATCATTTCCCGCAGGGCACCTCAAAACCCCCCGTGACCTGCTTTAATGAACCAGGAGAGGCATGGATCAAGGTCGCATGTGGTTGGGTGCACAGATACAAACAGTCGGTCAACTTCATCCAGGCTGAGTGGGCTAAAGCATTCTAAACGCGGAACCAAAGGCGTGCAAGGGGCCTCAAGTTCACTCACTGTCTCAATTGTGGCAGGGAGGTCACGGCAGAGCGCAAAGACTTTATCTGCAAAATACCTCGCAAAAGCCTCACTGCCAGTGTCCAATTCACTATCATTTCGCCTGCCCTGAGACAGGTCTGTCAGAGACTGAATCGTACTAAATAATTGGGCCGGGCATGAGCTAGCAGATGCAATTGAGGCTGCATAGAAATCTTTCTTCGCGGCCTTCACTGCCATCTCATAGGCTCTCATAAGCATCCTATAGGGTGTTCCTGACGCCTCGTTGCGAGCACGCCACCACCGTCTCTCTAGTCATCTCAGCCCTCGTTTCAGCTGCCGCAATTCCTGGGTATACCAGGGAGCGCGCCTAGAACGAGTGCGGAGAGGACACCTGGGAGCGATCTCGTCGATGGCAGTAGAGAGCCGAACATGGCAGTCCTCCACTAGCTCGTCCAACAAGCCGCCAGGGGTTACCCTCTCCCATCGCTGTCCTTCCCACTGCCTGTGGAATGGAACCAGTCATGTATCAATACAGGGGCCAGATCCAAATGTTTGTTACCAAATGACTTTGAACTGGACTTTGCTTAATCACCACCTTAGTGCACATCCTTTTGAGACATCCCACTGTCTTAGAAAACAAACTTTTTGGATTTGTGTTTTTGCCTGGTTTCTACCCTTATATAACAGTATTTACAAAGAACAGACAACAGATGGATTTCAAAGTGGAGGGATCTCAAGGAATGGGATGCCTGCTTTTAAAAAAATCATCTGTTTTGGAGGCTTTAAACTCAGTATGTGGAATGTTGGACCCTTTCCTTATAAAATAAGGATGTTGACATAGCTTTTGTCCTTCTAGCCTTGAATATTGCCTTCATGACACTACAAATAAATACAAATCAACAAATAAAAATATACAGAGGTCGGCTTTTATAGCTATAAATTGAAAGAAGATCTGCAGTGAAAACTGGAACCTGAGATTTAGGCTTGTATTTTGTGCTGAATAAGGAGGTGAAAAAGCTGATCATCTTGCCTTCTGGAGTTCTATCATGGTAAGTCACTTTTCAGCAACATTTCTTGGGTTTGGGCATAGATCATCCAGCTGGAAAAGTTGAATATGGACACTTTCAAAAAACAGGAAGATTGCATATGTACAACCAAACCATCCTAGGGTAAGCTCTCTCTAAATAAGCTGTTATTTTACACAAGTGGTAAGGAGGATTTTGCCGCTTATCATGGTAAAATGGTCACCTGTTGAAGACTTAACTTTTGGTTATTTCTTAACTTCCCAGGTTTTTAATGTGTTGCTTATGGGGACTTGCTTTCTTCTACATCAACTCCCTAGAGCTTCTAGAGGTGCCATATGAAACTCACTTGAGAAATTAGATTAGTGATTATAAGAAAGATCTTCTTTAGTGGCACTATGAGTGAAGGTGGGTGGCAACCATAGACTGGGCTTCTTCAGCAGCAGCACCTCACCTGAATGCCCTCCTTCTTCACTCACCTGGAGCCTACTGTGCTCTCTTTTAGGTGACAGGTGTAAACATTTCTTACCCAGGCTTTTAACTGAGAGAGTTAGTCTTTTGAAATTCGGTTTTCAGTCTGCTTCTAGCCAGAGAATTGTTTTATTCGGAATATATTTTATGCTGCTGAATGCTCTGGATGTTTTTTTAAATGAATGGGTTCTTAATGGTTTATTGATTTTAATGATTTTTAATGATTTTATTGATTTTTATCATGCTTTGTTTTCTAATCTCTATCAGATCTCTGGGGAGTTGAAGGCATATTAATTTTACAACTAAATAAAACTCCCACTTTGTAGTAGGTAGCTTTTAAACCATTAGTAACATCATCCCTCACTAGTGGTTTGGTGCAAAATATAATATTGCAGGAAGGTGCTCCAGAACACATAGAGAAAATGGCAACTTAACAGTTCTGGTCAGGTGTGTTCAGCCCAGGTTATCAAACAGACGTGACTGTGGACAGCTTCTAAACCTTACTGCTATTTAAGTCTACCATATGACAGATCACCCGAGCAGGTTCCTATAGATGGACCCAGATGTTATCAAGTACATGGGGGTGTTTGTGTGGAGGTCAGCACCAGAAAAGCAGTACCAGTACATGCACAAAAGAAGTATTATGAGATACGAAACCCATTATAAAGTGAGTCATCTTGAGAAAGTGCAGGAGAATCAGATTAATATTGAGTTGAAAGGAACTGGCAAGCTGGTTTCTCTAATTGGAGTCCGAAGCCAAGTCGAAAAGTGCAGCTTAAGTACGTATGAATTACTACTTTGTCGAAGAGCCTGCATCGCTGGTGGCGATGCAAATGAATGTTGGTGTCAACCAACAGCACAGTACTATTAATCACTTCAATGATTATTTTATTCAGCAAAATACCCAGGGTCCACTCCTCTTGAGATTACTTGGGTGTTAACAATATGAAAGGTGTATTCATGACCCATTGGTTCTGATCCAGCTCCATGGCACTCAGTGGCTTATCCCCACTTGCATCAAAAAGTGCATCCAGTCAGTTCAGCCAAGCTTATGAGCATCAGGATGCAGATGTGCACCAGTGCCAATACACAAGTCTGCTCCCCAACTGTTGAGTGATTTATCTTAATTTGTTGCTGGTAAAATTTAGGCTTCTAGATAGCAAAATGCATAATTTAAAATAAAGCAGGAGGGAGCCAGCTGAGGGAAGTGCTCCCATTTCCTTTTAAGGCTCGCATGTTTGATTGTTAATCATCACTTCTGCGCCAACAAGTTGGTTACTCTTTACAGTGCCACAGGCCTCTGCTTTGGGTTGGGAATCTGTAGTCCTGGGATGAGGCCTGTGTTGTGCCGAAGACAGAGGCCGGCAGAACTTTCCAGCTAGTGACTTCCTCAACGGGTTTCACAATGGAATCCTCCACAGGTTGAATCCTATTCACCTTGCCCCGCCCCGCTGCCTTCTTTGGCCACCTGCACTTGTGTACGCCTCTGGCTCAGGAGAGAGCATAAAGTACCCGGGAGTAACAAGCTTGGAAGGATGAGAATGCACTGGGCCGCAGGCCAAATCCAGCCTTGATAGAGGCAATAAGTAGACGAATGCAAATTAGGCACAGCCAGACTAACACGGACTTGCAGGTTTGGAGAGAGGATCATGTAGTGTTTAATGCTGTAGAGTCCAGGTGAGCAGAACACTGAGCAGCACACCACTTTATGCCAGCCCCTCTGTAAGTATTATATCACATTGTCACTTTCTCCTCCGCACTGTCATACATACCACTTGATGTAGAACTTTGTAATGGGAATTTGGACCCAGTTCAGAACCTGTACCTGTTTACAAAACAGGAGAGGTTTTCTGACACTCAGATTTCCCCCCAGCAATATAATTTCAGTCCAGCGATTGAACTAAACAGCTGGGAGAAAGTTGGGAAGAGTCCGGCCTGATGAAGAGTTCTGGAGAACCTGAAAGCTTTCACACTAATGCTATTTTGGTTGATCTCAATACAAGGTATATTATGTGGCTTTTGCTTATGAATATTCACAGGAGTCTTCTGTGACATTAAAAACTAGCAAGGTTTTATTTCACACAAGCTTTTATGGACTAGGTCTGATTACATATCAGTCATTCGAAGAAAGCCTGTGAAGTCCCACAAGACTCCTATTTATTTTTGCGGTAGCAGACTGACATGGCTACCCCTCTGAAATGGAGATACATAAAGGTAGAAGTATTTCCATTTTCCAAAGTGTGCAGTGAACTGTCATTTCTTGTTGGAGAATTGTTCACCAAAACTGTACTGTAACTCTGCAGTGTTGAAATTTTAAGACAGCTGGTGTTTTCAGACAGATTTAACAGTTTGGTTGTTTGCTGAAAAGTTGTGACTGGCAAAAAAAACACAGACCCATTGCTGGGCCTGGTTCTGCCTCTGCTAAACATTTTAGTCCCTCTAATTTAAAGGAAGTCAGCAGAGAAAACCTCCTCAGTAAGGTAAGAAAAGATGAGCTTTCTCATTCTCTGGCTTCTAGGAGTTTTGCTTCTTTTTTTGCTGAAATCCATGATTTGGCCTCAATAGGCTCCCTGTCAATAGGCCCACATGCTGTCAGCTGCATGTGTGGAGCTCTTACACAAATATTCACCCCCATACACAGAGCTGCCTCCTCAATATGTGGATGGGGAAACCATTGGAGGCAGAGGACTTCCATGATCATACCCATAAGGATTCACTGAGCCAGAGCTATTTAAAAGAGTTGCTTATAGCTCAGAATTTCTACACAACCAAATGTGAAAAAATTCCAAGTAATACCCCTCTGAAGAAGAAGTTTGCTGCCAGTGTACTCCCTCTGTGGCTGCAATCCTAAACTTGTTTGCTCTGTCATTTCTGCTGAATTTGATGGGCCTTCAATCAACTACCCCTAAGCACAGGTTGTTGCTTGAATCTGTGAGCTGCTATCTTAAAGGGAAAGTCCATATTTATGTTTTTATTTATAATTTAGATTTGTGAATTGCTCAGTCCCTGAGTACTCAGGGCTCTGAGCGATGAACAACAACAAACATATATCACATCATAGTAAAACAACTACCAACAATTTAAAATTAATTAAAAGTAGTTAAAATGCTTCATAGATGGCATTAATAATTCAAATATCAGACTGTCTCACTACCAAGGCTCCCTCTAAGCTGTGGAGTCCTGTGAGCAAAAATTCTACTTGGTGAGCTCCTGGCATTAAAGTTGTGAGCGAGCGATTTGGCTGCTGCATGAATTAGTTTGCTCTGGAGCCATCCTTCCTGAGCTAAGACAAAAATCTGTGAGCCGGAGGCTAAAAAACTGTGAGCTAGCTCACACTAACTCAGGTTAGAGGGAACACTGCTCACCACCTCATAGATGGAAAAGAAAGGAAGAAGAGGGGGAGGCAGGGGGACGCGAGGGGAGTGCTGGACAAGATGGTACCCATCTCTGTCCTCAACCAAAAGCCTGGCAGAACATCTCTGCTGTCAGCTGCCACTGCCATGCCTTGGAATGTGTAGGGGGGTGGAGGCCTGGGGCTCACTCATCACCCTCCCTTCCTCCCTTCTTGTGCTTCAGCCGCTTATCTCACCAGGTGTCCTTGGAGTGGCGGTGTCTCCTAGCTCTCCTTTTTCCGCTGGGAAACTAATGGCTCTGCTTTAGCCTGTGCTGCAGGGTGCTTGCTTATTGGCTTGGTAGTATCAGGGGGTCTCCTTTGAAGGGGGTATAACCTCTGGGGTTCTCGCCTTCCCTGCCATTTTTGACACAAGAGTTCAAGGTGTCTCATATACTTCCTCCCTCAATAAACTGAATCTGCTGAAGATCCTGGTGTTGCGCATGATTGACTGGGAACCCTGACAAAGTGTCAGGAATCCTCTATAGCCTCTACCCATATCTCTCTACCTTGAGATGAGCGGTGAGGAGGAATCCGTTACACATACAATGACCGCGGAGCAGGTGCCGGTGACCATGGCTCCACCAACAACCATGACGCCGGCAATGACGCATCAAGGGTTGGTGCCATCCACAAGGGTGTTGTTATTAGGAGCAGAAGGGGGTGCAGTGCCTTGACTCCCCAAGGACTCATCTACCCATCGGAGATGGGGGGTGTTCAAGGCGGACACCCAGGAGACGTGAATGCTCATGCCAGCTCCTGGCACCTTGAGCCAGTATGATAGGCCCAAGAAGAGGCTGCAACACCAGAGTGGGGCAGAGGAGGGCGGTTGGGAAGAGAGACTGGCCCTCGAGGAACTCATGCTGGATGTGCCGAGACTGGTGGCCCAAGATGACCTGCAATTGCAGTGCCCTGCACTGCCTCCACCAGCCCAGCAGCTGCCCACTCTCCCTCCCCCTGGGCCACCAAGGGACCAAGTGCCACAACCCCTGTCACCGGTGGCCCCACGAGAGCATTGTCCCACCAAGCTCCTGGATGCAATGTTCAATGGCAACTCTGAGAAGCTGGTGTTCTTAGTGGTGCAGGTAGAGAAGTTTGTCACATACTGGGGCCACCTGTTCCCTACAGAGGAGCGTAGAGTGGACTATATTGCCTCTAAGCTGAGGGATGGGGCAGCGGATTGGTACATCAGCCTGCACAATGCTCAGGGGCCCGAGCTACGTGAAGTTGACGAGTTCATGTGGGCACTGCGGGCACAATACGAAGACCCCATAGAAAGTAAGAAGGTCCAGACTTCCGGTTTATGGCGACACGCTGGCAGACGCACCTCCCGGACCTCCCGGGGGTGTGATCTGCGTGCTAGTGGTGGGGGGGGCGATTCTTCGCTCCCCCCCCGGAGCCTTTGTGAAAGGCTCCTAGCCATGGGGCTTTTGAAGGGTGGCCTCTTCACCAGCACGATGCTGGGGAA